CACCATCATCACCATCACCACCATCATCACCATCCCCTTCACCATCACCATCACCATCATCACATCATCATCACCATGATCATCACCACCACAATCACCATCACCATCACCATCATCACCATCACCACCATCATCACCATCCCCTTCACCATCACCATCATCATCACCATCATCACCATCATCACCATCATCACCATCATCACCATCATCACCATCATCACCATCATCACCATCATCACCATCATCACCATCATCACCATCATCACCATCATCACCATCATCACCATCATCACCATCATCACCATCATCACCATCATCACCATCATCACCATCATCACCATCATCACCATCATCACCATCATCACCATCATCACCATCATCACCATCATCACCATCATCACCATCATCACCATCATCACCATCATCACCATCATCACCATCATCACCATCATCACCATCATCACCATCATCACCATCATCACCATCATCACCATCATCACCATCATCACCATCATCACCATCATCACCATCATCACCATCATCACCATCATCACCATCATCACCATCATCACCATCATCACCATCATCACCATCATCACCATCATCACCATCATCACCATCATCACCATCATCACCATCATCACCATCATCACCATCATCACCATCATCACCATCATCACCATCATCACCATCATCACCATCATCACCATCATCACCATCATCACCATCATCACCATCATCACCATCATCACCATCATCACCATCATCACCATCATCACCATCATCACCATCATCACCATCATCACCATCATCACCATCATCACCATCATCACCATCATCACCATCATCACCATCATCACCATCATCACCATCATCACCATCATCACCATCATCACCATCATCACCATCATCACCATCATCACCATCATCACCATCATCACCATCATCACCATCATCACCATCATCACCATCATCACCATCATCACCATCATCACCATCATCACCATCATCACCATCATCACCATCATCACCATCATCACCATCATCACCATCATCACCATCATCACCATCATCACCATCATCACCATCATCACCATCATCACCATCATCACCATCATCACCATCATCACCATCATCACCATCATCACCATCATCACCATCATCACCATCATCACCATCATCACCATCATCACCATCATCACCATCATCACCATCATCACCATCATCACCATCATCACCATCATCACCATCATCACCATCATCACCATCATCACCATCATCACCATCATCACCATCATCACCATCATCACCATCATCACCATCATCACCATCATCACCATCATCACCATCACCATCATCACCATCACCATCACTACCATCATCACATCATTATCACCATGATCATCACCGTCCCTGTCACCATCACCATCCCCTTCACCATCATCATCACCATTTCTGTCACCACCGCCACTGCCATCTCAGCCGCGTATAGCGCTGCACACATCCTTACTTCCTCTCTGGAGCAGCTTTGCGCTGCCCAATCTGTGTGCCCACTTGGCAGTCTATGACTGTGTCAGCCCTTCCTCCACATGATTACAAACATGCTGACTCCTGTCACCTGGACGACTTCACAAAGGCCGGTGTGGGATCCTGGCATGATTTATGAGCTGGTCGGGCACTTGTAAATAATGTCTGACGTGGGGATTTCTGACAAGGATGCAGGCTGCCTTTTAAGCAGGAGGAGGAGGGCGAGGGAGGACCCGGGAGGGAGGCCTCTGTCACTGAAGCCAGCTGCGCCGGTACCTGGGGGAACCAGCGTTCTGCTTTAGATTTGAATCTTAATGCTGGGCAATGAGAACCATCTGCGCAGCCCAGCGCACTGGCTG